CAAAGAGATGAATATAAAAAACAGTATGAAAATAACAATAAATAGTGCAAAATAAAAATAAATTCAACTGTGTAGCTCACATAACGTAAAAAAATACCATAGCGAAAAACATTATGTAGTAAAGAGAGGTTAATGAGAAAAAAGGAATTAATAGGGAATTCTTATCACATTGTGAATAACATAATGAATCAATAAGGAATTACAAGTACTGGGAAAGAAAGAAAGAAGGGAGAAAATTTAATTATTACATAAAAATAAATAAGAATCTTTTTGGAGGACATAAATATTTTTTAGCATTATACAAATGTCCTCTGCAATATCTAAATATTGGAAAGCTTTGGATAACTCGATCTCAAATGTTAAGTTAGTCAAGTTAGTCGTAGAAACACCCCAAAACCTGTTGTTTTCCATCGAGGAATAAGATATTACAAAACACTGTAGAACTTCTTGCCATACAAACAAATACACCTTCAAGAAGCTAAGCTTATTGTCTATTCAGATGACTGTTACTGGAAGAGTAAACAATGTAACGATTAGATATCATTGTTTATCTTGAGAAAACACACTTTATTTATACAGGAAAAGGTTTGAATAGTATAGTTTGTAATATTATTCTGATGTGAGATGAGCACTAATAACCACAATAACTTCACGTCGACGAAACACTATAAGTAGAAAAAATTAAGTAATTTGAAAACATGAAAAAAGATAAACCAAAATGAATACTAGAAACTCTTAATAGTAAGGAAGTCTCAAAACAAAATGCTTGTTTTACAGTAAAATAATAACAAAATAGTGTACGTGTTGAATGGTAAATTAAATCACATTGATGATAATAATAATATTAAATTTAGATCATTCAAGAAGCTTAATCACAAGGGTGATATGTTTATGCTTGTCCTCTATAGGGGCGATAAGTTTGTGCATGTCGTCATCTTCTATTTTACTACTGACTAAGACTTTAATGCAAGAAAACTACAAGGATTAGATATTGATTTAATATACCCTTAAAATATGATTTTAAGGAACACAAAGTAAATAATATACAAACATGCACTAAGTTGAATAACTTACGGTTTTTATTGGTTGACCGTAGATGATGGAATTAAACAATAGAAATGCATGATCCTTGCTGGTCCTTGTGAGCTTTGCATGGAATTCTGAAACAAACAAGAAAATCTTCTTTAGGCTCATCCCTCAGTAGCTGTTCGTAGCTGAGTCCTGGATTATGGAAGTTATACCCGACTTAAGTTAAGGCTCAAAGTAATCATATGTTGTTTGATTAATCATCAACTAACTTAATGACAAAGCATTAAAAAGTATCGAACTCAATTATTATAAAACTATTGTGAAGTTTATTGTTTTGGAATAGCCCGATTGGTGTTAATAACACTAAAATAAGTTATCCTAAGATTGTATGCAATAACGTCACAACGTACACCTAAGTTTGCTAAATAACGGATATTATACTTTTAACCAAAGAAGATATTTTGAGAGTTGCAATAAAGTGTGTGTTAATATGAGTATAAAAATATAGTTCCTCTACAAACATTCAAGCTTAACTTTACGTATCACACACTTTAGTTTTTTGGGCTAATTGTAGAAGCACATAATTACACTGTTCACAACAGGACATGATTCTTACTTACCCCTTGTGGCAGTATATCAATTTAAAGTATTATAATTAATCAACCTCTCACGTTAGCTACATTTTAAATAATATATACTAATAAATCAATTATCGTATGTATTACCGCAATCTTCACTATCAGAATAACCCTGATTCTTCAAATTTCTTCAGACAATAAACGTGTTAACTAAAAAGTTAGTTTGGTAAGAAGACAGAATAGCTCGTTTTAATTAAAGAAGTTTTCTACTACATATCACAGAAAGTAAAAAATAAATTAAATATTAATCAATACACTAGAGTAGAAAATCGTAATTTCCCTTTTTAAAATGTTTCTTGGTTGTAAGTTTGCCTTTGTATAAAGTATTTCTGGTTAGAAACTTTGGAATAGTTCTATTTCGTGGTTTGTAAGTAATATTTTTGGTAACATTAACTGATACGTATTCGTGTGGAGTGATGAGCACGTTTTGCTATATCTTTCAAATCGTAATGCTTTTCTGATTAGACATCTAAACAACGACGAAAAGTTATGGTGTCAAACGTACGAAATAGTAGTGCTTTCTCTTTCGAAACTGTGTGGGATTTTCTGAACAATCCTAAACGGGTGGAATAGTTTTGTACCAATGAATTAGTTTCCAAAAAAATATTAAAGATAGTAATGCTTTCAACATCTTTGATAAATTTATTTGTTGGTGTTATATCATTAGTGTGAGGAACATATAATGAGTGAGACATATACATACATTAATCTTAAACAAATATAATCTAGTAAACTTTCTTTGCGTGTTTAAAGTTTTTTCCCTAATACCCTAGTAGATTACGATGAATCTAAAGTAATGGAAACATAATGGCATGTTTACTCGATATTTAAAGCTTGTTGAGTTGTTCCTGCAGTGTTAAAAGGTTTGGTGCCCTTCGGGATAACATATTCCAACCTTGAGATTTCAGAAGTGATAGAAGCTGCAACTTAATAAATTCGTCTATGCTTAAATGAAGCTACTATATGCCATTTTGATGGTATAGCATTCTGAGATAAAATGCACTCCACAAATCACAGATTGTTTTAGCTGGAAGTCTTTCAGTTAAGAAACTATGAATTTTATCCTATGTAATTAACGTACAGTTATAGCATCACTGTGTGAGCGTGTTGTTCGTCTGTAAAGCACGTGCATTTATCTTTAACGATATCATTAATTTTGTGAGCACAAAGAAATGAACAACAGAAAATAGCATTTACGCGCTGGCCCTTTTATGTCAAAGTAGCACATGAGGAACTGCTTGATGACTTTAATATGCTGCCCTTTTGTAGATATTTGCGTTACCGTTGAAATATATTTGAAATGGATTTATTCTCATTGCATAAGTATGCTGTGAAACATCTTAGCTACATGTTTATCATTTAAGAGTTGAATGTATATTAGATTTACATGGATATCTCTAGAGCAGTAACATTCTTAGCAAAATACAAACAAACCAACTAAATTATAAATAATGTAAAACCACTTGCATTCCTTGAAAAATTTGAACCCTTTGTAAATTTTTAAAATTACTTCAACTGTATATATGTATGTGTGTGTGTGTTTTAAAACAGTCAGTTAATTAATTTTAATAACTGAAGGAAAGAGAGTGTAACGCAACAATATATCCTTACTTTGGATAGTATTTAAAAGTAAGGTAACTCTTAAAAAGTGTTGCACAGATAAAAGACAAATAAAACTAGAACAGTGTGAGAATGGTGAAGTGGACCCCAATAAGAGTGGCGTCTGTAGAATTGTTCCCACAGAGTAGTACAGATAAACCGTCTGAAAGCTTAACCTTTCGAACCTTGCATCGAATATCTTACTTTTTCTGTCTCTCTCTTTTTGTTTCTTATGCAAGGCCACATCTTTAAAACTCCAAACAAAAAGAGAGAGACAGAAAAAGTAAGATATTCGATGCAAGGTTCGAAAGGTTAAGCTTTCAGACGGTTTATCTGTACTACTCTGTGGGAACAATTCTACAGACGCCACTCTTATTGGGGTCCATTTACTCCGAGTTTGGAGTTTCTTATGCAAGGCCACATCTTTAAAACTCCAAACTCGGAGTAAAGATGCAACTTTGTGCGGGAAGTAACATGGGCTAAGTGGCTGCGGTCTCATAAGCTGTTTTGAGGCCGCAAATTGAGGCCAAAGTGACCAATATAGCAATTTTTGACACACAGGACGACCAAATGGTCTCAAATTGAAAAGGTCGGATTTTTTTTATTTTTGGTAACGAGTGATCAAGATGGCTTTTATAAATGAAAATATTATCTTCTTCTTTGCTCCTAACAGCAAGACAAAAAATATTGTGTACAAAGAAGATTTGTAGTAGATAGATAAATTAGCATGTAAATAACGAAATAAATCAGTTAAAGCCATTTTCATCCGAGAAACGCTGGGCACTAGTATGAAATTAAATGAAACTTGAAATAAATGAATAATTGAATAAGAAAATAGATATTAAAAGCAAATGTGGATGCTGAAGCCCACTTATAAAACTAGTTTTATAGTTTTATCAGTAAAACTATACCTGTGTATATGAGTTTCCATATGTTTATGCCCTTGTGATATCCAGTCAGCTACTTGCACAAATAACATCAAAATTGGCAAAAAGATTACACAAGTAGATCTAAATAAATATTTATTTTATATTAGTTATGAAAGGGCGAAGTATTATAATATTAAACTGTCACACCTTCTTTTATTTTATGTTCTGTTAGGATCAAGTCATTTCCCAAAAGTTGCCGAAGGTGGTGAATGGTAGTTGTAACTTTATTATCAATATTTACAATATTTTTTAATTGTGTATTAATTTTATTTTTCATGCGAACTTGGAAATAAAGGTTAAACATGGTAAACTGCTGGTACTTGTTCTCTTCTCTTACATGCATAACTAGTGGTTAAAGCGCTCGACTCGCAATCTTTGGGTCACTGGATCGACACCCGGATCCGAACATGCTCGTCCTTTCAGCTGTTGGGATGCTATGATGTAAAAGTCAATTTACTTTTTATTGGTGGATAGTAGCCATGAATTGGTGGTGAGTGGTGTTTCACGAGCTGCCATCCCTCTAATCTTTCACTTTAAAATTAGGACGGCTAGCGTAGATAGCCATCGAGCAGCTTTGAGCGAATTTCAATAAACAAACAAACCTACTTGGATACATTTACCCTCTCACATTGTGATTTTCTTTTTGTGTGACGCTTTTTGTCTTTGACTAGTTGTCTCATAAAAGTACAGATAAATAGGTAGATAGAACTATTTGTTTCTTGTTTTTTTAATGTTTTTCAGGAATATTTGACCGATGTTATTTGATGTAGTGACAGTGAAATGTCCAATTTTTTCGTGCTTACAGGTGACTGTCACGGATTCTGGGACACCTGCTCTCTCCTCAACAACTAGAGTTGTTGTAACTGTGGCGGACATTAACGACCATGACCCAGAGTTCCTTCATCACATATATCTTCATTGCACGGTGCTTCCTACAAATATTTCTGACAAAGAACATGCTTTGTTTCGGGTGAGTTTCATGTAAATATAGTTTTTTCGTAATATTATGTTATACCGTTTTTCTTTCTTTCATTTTTAGGTGTACTGTTGTTCTAATATTTATTCTTTCAAAATTTGATACTATTTTAGGAGTAAACTAATAAGGTATTAATATCTTTGATATAAACACTTGTATATAGATCTTAGAAACAAACAAGAATTATTATATCTGTAAAGACGTGAAATATATACTTTCTAAGAAGCAAAAACTCAATCAATTTGGCTAATATCGCAAAATTTGACCAAAATGTAGTTATACCCAAGAAAATATGTTATATTTCGTTATAGTTCAGTAGAATAAACGTATCTTTTGAGAATTAATTCCTGAAAATAGAAAAGGAATACTTCACGTGGGAAGTGCACATATACCTCATTGTATAACTTTGTGGTTAACAACAAACAAACATAAAACTTTACTGGCACGTGTATATTTAACGTGAAATACAATATTTTCTCATAACAACATAGTTCACAAAAGATGTTAGAAATTGCCTTCGTCTTAATTATTTAGGTAATTCATATCAAAATATGTTACATACACAATTTAAATAATGGACGAAGAATATACAAATATTATGTTTTTTACACAATGAGTATTTTGTTAGTAACCGATTATCCCCAAATGTTAGTGTATTACACAAATCATACACGAAAAAAAAAGAAATACAAAATACTAATTACTTAGATATCACCAAGAAATAGATAGAGCGAAACAATGAGTATTTAGTTATTTCTACGTATTACTTCACTCGAAGAGTCATATGTATCAACATATTATCTGAATTTATATCTATTTTATACCACTGCATAATATGGATAGATACTGTACAACACACTAATTACATAGACATCACTACATTATCTATATTGGATATTGTACTATACAATAAGAAAGTTAGTGTTAATACATTACCCGCATAGACACTTTACTACACAATAAGTATATAGGTGTCACTACATTATCTGGGGTGCCCCCCAGTGGCACAGCGGTATTTCTGCGGACTTACAACGCTAGAAACCGGGTTTCGACACCCGTGGCGGGCAGAGCATTGCATAATTAAATTTGTGCATAATTAAAAACAAAAACAAACATTATCTGGGAAAGTAACGAATTTAATAACTGAATAGTTCTCAGTGGAGGTTTGGACTCGTTTCGTGGCTTTTTCGTGTGTGAGGTTTTGTTTAATTTTCTCTCTTTGAAGAGGCTGTCCGTCCCACTCTAGAAATGTATTGAGAGAAATTATTCCTGCATTTTTTTAAAATATATATGGAATTAGAATTGAAAATAACTATAGATTCATCATGTGTATAGGTATATAAAGGACATTAAAAACAGAATCCTAAGAAACGTAACAATCATTCATTGTTCGTTTGAGAACTTTAATGGACTGTAACTGCCCGTTAAATGAAAATGGGACGACGTTTCGGCTTTTATACCGGGATCCTCAGTATAGAACTCGAAAAATCGTACCTTTACCAGATAACAGGCAGTTGCACACCACTAATATTTTCAAACCTATTATATCTACACTGTCTAAATTTTCACTATAAAAACAGCAAACATCGTTACGTTGAAACCTCCATCGGATGTTTGATGCTTAAAGGTAATTGTAAACAATTGGATTGGTTTGAATTTCGCGCAAAGCTGCACGAGGACTATCTGAGATAGCCGTCCCTGATTTATCAGTGAAAGACTAGAGAGAAGGCAGTTAAGTAACACCGCCAACTCTTGGGCTACTCTTCTACCAACGAATTGACCGCCACATTATAATGCCCCCACAGCTGAAAGGGAGAGGATTTTAGGTGGGACGGGGATTCGAACCCGCGACCCTCAGACCCTAAACATCTGACCATGCCGGGCGGTAATTATAAACAAAAATAGTCAGTTGTAGTTGTAATTGTGTATTTTATTTTTTGGAAGATTTTAAGTCAAAATCATAATAGAATTAAGCTGAAATTATATTTATGTTAATTTACAAATATTCTAAAGAGTAATTATAAGTATTAAGTGATAAAGTTTCTGGTTCACAATTAATGAAAACTGCAAAAAACACATGGAAAGACAAAACCTTTTGGTATATTTGTTGCATGTTGCGTAGATAGTAGAAAGTTTAAAAGTGTATCAATGACACTCGATCTCCAGGATAAAAAAAACAAATGTGGTATATTGGTAATTATAGTTTGGCTTTCGATTCCAGATTCGCGTAAGTGTTTTGTAAATGCCTTTGGGAACACTTGGATACTGACTGCCCTCATTAGTTTTTCATGCATTGTTTTTTGGGGAAAAAAAATGTGATCCAAGAAGACGTAAGCTTTGTTAAAGCTCCTGCTTTGGGTTTTGAAGTTAACGAGAAAAAGCGAGTTATTTCCTGGAGACCTGAATATTTTTTACAGATCAGAGTACAAAATGTCGTCCGTATCAAAATTCAAACAGGGACAGTCCAAACGAGTTCAACCCTTATATTGACCTAAAAAACGTAGAGAAGGAATATTTAATGAATTTTAACAAAATCAAAGAATTTAGACACAGAAAAAGCAGCAACGCGTGCAACTTTTTTATATAGATTATTTTTATATAGAAGACCAACTTAATTTACAATTTTACACTATTGTACTTGAAAGCTAACAGATGTCTACCTTGTTGCAGTACTTATTTAAAAAAATACACAGCAACTGCAGTAAAATGTAGCTAACTATCATTCAAGTTTATACTATAGATGGTTGACGTTCAATAAAAGTATAGTTTTTAGTAAGATATTTAAAACATAAACTTTAAACTTAGGCTATCAAACATAGGATAATAAATAAAATGTTAATACTCAATTATCTATATTTTACGACAATGGCAATGCACTTCAATAGGTCAGAATGTACTAAGGATCTAAATAAACCAGTTATAAAAAAATTGGCCATATGGTATTTTGTTCACCTAAGGCCAAAAATTATATTTAATTGAGTGAGAAAATGCAAAGTCATAATTCTAATATAACAGTTAAATTTTAATCTTTAACTTTTGGCTCAGCAGCGATCTCGAAGCAATATGAGAAACGCCTTTCTAATATTCGCTAACTGTATTAAAAAGCCAATTTAAATTTTAATCTTTAATTTTTGGCTCGGAAATGATCTCGAAACAATATGAGAAACTCCTATCTAATATTCGCTAACTGTATTAAAAAGCCAATTTCTGTCTTTTGCATATGTTTAATATTTGACTGCTATTGCATTTCAGAAACACATCTCCGCGTCTTAAAATCCTATACACTTGTTTTCCATTGTTTCAATTGTTTTTCCTTATCCTAGCAAATCTAATAATTTTCCAATAACTCTCTCTCTCTTCATTATTGGAGGAAAAGACCAGGAATAAACTAGAGACAATCTAATACAAAATCCAAGATGACACTTCAACATGTATTTTAAAATTCTCTATTTTTTAACTAATTTTCTATTTTAAAACTATTTTAATTATTACTCTATTTCACATAGAGTAAAACTAAAAAAAATAAAACGAATACGTAAAAATCCAATGAAATAATTAATAGATTTAACTCTCAACTACCAACGCTAATATTAGGTTTAAAACCAATAAAACCATAGGAGCAGCAATTCCTTGTACATGTGAAATTTCATCTGAAATATTGTACCTGGATAGCTCACCCCCCCCCCAACGTATAAAATAGTAGATCTATTTTTAAAAATATTATGACATTACTTTACAGAGTTCAATGTAAGTTTGAAAACTAATCAATTAATTACGCTTTCAATGTCAATGATTCTGCTATACATTATTTTTAATATTATCCATTATCAATTGACAACTTTTAAATGACGTGAACTACTCGCTCTTCAATGTAATTAAGTTTTATTGGGAAACGCTTATATAAGGTTAGGCCTGCCTTGCAGTCTATTCCATTAGATTACTTTATTATTTTTTCTTCACGATGAGAAGTACACGAACTATAGTCAGGCATTTACCTGTCTGCTTTCTTTTATAATTTTATTTAAGTTTACGAATTAGTTGTATTTTTTGTGTGTTTTTGTTGTTGATTGTTTTTTATGCAGATTCATTGAGAGTTGCACATACTTTATTGTCTCATTAATATCACTTGAATGATAACATTATTATTTCTTTACGTTACAGACAAAAAAAATGGTTAATTGGATCATTTATCATCCATACATTTAACTATTTATCTGTGTCTATTTTAAACCTCAAAGAAAATTACTGTGCCTTTTTAGTATAAAAGGTGGGTTCGATCGCAGATAGCCCAATGTGCAGATTTGCACTTGAAAAGGAACAATAAAAATAATTAGAAGCAATGTATAAATGCCCTATCAAAATATTCAAGTGAACCAAAAAGTATTGAATTGTTTTTCTAAGGAAGAAACTTTAAAATGAGAGGCTATGAATGTTTTATTTTTTCTAGATTGTTTATACTCATGTACGCGTGTATAATCTATTATAACTTGTATAATTGTGCCTGGATTCTTTATATTGATGAGTCAGAAGAATGAAGAAAATGGAACGGAATGGGATTCGAACGAGAACAGAATTAGTTAAGTTAGAGATAGACAAGGCTCAGCCATGATTTATCATGTGGTCGTTTTCTATCAGTAGTGTTCTTTAATTAACAGAAGATCTTCTTCTGTGAGGAGGAAACTAAGCATCGTACAATTCTTTTCTTGTCTTACAACGGTAGATTTGAAAATATTCTCCTTACGTGGTGTCTAGTACAAATTAAACGATTCTTAAGAAAAATACAAGGTTTCTTTACTTGAAGGTTTACTGAACTTCATGAAGAGTTTAAAGCATTCTTTTAAACCATGTTCGATCCAAGGTAGTAAGTTTTTTAAAAAAAGTTGTCAAATGATAGTAATCTGTTTTATTAAAGATTGGAGGATAAGACAAAATTAAAAGATGTTGCTATAATAATTTGAAATTATTGAGTTGAAATTTAAGACCGACTGATGGAATTTAAAACGAGTTTTCAACCCATTTTTACGTTCTAGCTTCACCTTTGGAATTTATTTTCAATTAGCTATTATCACACTAAACTGTCGCAATATAGCAAATATCTATGTGGCTGATTGTGTTAATTCCAGGTTGTTGCCATGGATCACGATGAAGGACCAAGTGGCAGTGTGACATATGGTCTTGAAGCCGGAGAAATGAACAACATATTCCACATCAGTCCAATAAGCGGGACTGTGACAGTAAAGAAACCGCTCGAAGCTGGTGAAGAGTATGATCTGAGAGTAAGTTTATTATTTTTCTTTGGTTTAGTAGTGGTCGACATCTGTGGTTATTTTTATTTACAAATTTCAACTTAATTTGATCTTCTTGTTTGTCTGAGGTAATGTGAAGTAGAATAGCAATTAATAGTTAAAAAGCGAAGGGAAAGGAGATAAAAATGAAGCCTCATACTTTATGTGTAAGTATTGTATACTATGTTAGGAAATAATAAATCGATAATCATACCCTTCTGATACTCTTGTTTCGTTGTTTCAATCTCTTTATATTAAATCAAGGTTTTGATACCATTACTATTTGATTAGAACTGAGAACTGATTAAGTGACAAACATTTTTGAAGGCAAATAATTTATGTCGTTTCAAGTTCTGTAGATTTATGAACTTATGTAAGTATAGAATTATAGACTTGTTCTCAAATGTTCTAGACTTACACCGTTAAAGTGAAGAAGCACCAATCAGTACGCAGGCGCAGTTGTTTGCTTTCTTGCATTTGTGATAAGACTGAGTCACAACAAGCGTTAAATAAACTTTATTTTATTCATTTATATGTCTTATATTCATCTCGGTAGTCATTATTTCAGTTATAACTGATATAACTTATAAATATATTGTTGTTTTTTCTGTCTCAGAGTCCAATATTCGATGAACGGCGTATGATACCCTGAAGTTAAACTGGTTAAATTTTCAATGTTGCCTACCATATTATAATTGTGAATCCAACATTATTTTCAGGACATTTTTATCTTACTACCCTCACACACCCATACCCACACCGGTATGTCTGAGGGACTATAATGCTAAAAATGACGTTTCGATATTCGTAGTTGGCAGAGCACAGATAGCCTTTTGTGTATCTGTGTGCTTAAAAAGAAGCAACAGCAATTTTCGTTCTTATAGTTGGTCTACGCATAACATAACTAATGTGCCGTCGGTATGATGACAATATTTCACAGGTACGACTGTATGAGTGTGCGGGAATACTTAGGATGAATGGTAAATATATATATATATCGTATTAGGCTGCGTAAAGTCCATATACTAGTATATAATTATAGAAAATTTGGAAATTTATTTTTTAAAAGAATTTGAACAATTGATAATACATTATTGAATAAATAGAGTTGTTTAAACATTTGTTTAACAACAACAAAAAGAAAAGCTTGGAATGGTCTATTCTTTCATTGGGTGGTGTATCTGTGAGCCAGACTAGTTTCGGAGAATTCCACTCCTGATCAGTGACCTTGGACACTATCTCCAATGAAATATCAGACCAAACCAAACCTTTATAGTAGTGAGGTCACTGATGAGGAGTGGAATTCTCCGAAACTAGTCTGGCTCACAGGCACACACCATCCAATGAAAGAATAGACCATTCCAAGCTTTTACTTGTTGTTGTTGAACAAATGTTTCAACAACTCTATTTATTCAATTATGTAAAAGCTGCCCAGTGTTGGC